CATAGCTTCTACACAGCTCCGTCACAGCTTATACACAGCTCCGTTATAGCTTCTACACAGGTCCGACACAGCTCCGTCATAGCTTCTACACCGCTCAGTCATAGCTTCTACACAGCTACGACACAGCTCCGTCATAGGTTCTACACAGCTCCAACACGGTGGTGCTCGGCCCAGGGCTCGTGAGTCTCCCCACACCCACCCAGCGCCTCTCACCCTGAGAACAGTCCTGGCTCTCTTCAGGAGGTCAGTTACAGAACCGTTGCCGCATGTGGAGGTGAGCTGACGATATTTGTATAGAGACAAAGATCTGCTGTGATGAAGACGAAGCTCTGCTGTGATGAAGATCTGCTGTGATGAAGATCTGCTGTGATGAAGATGAGAAAGTAGAAACAGTTTAACTCTTCATCATGACAACGGTCAGTTTTCTCCTTAGCTATGACACTGAAGGCTTAATTTCTCCTTAGCTGAGGGACTTACTGAAGGATGTTGTACAGAATCCCTTAGGTTTCCTTAGCTAAGGGAAAACGTTCAGCCATTTAGTGCAATCAAACATTTTACAGCAGTAATATTCGACTGTTACCATGACGACCACTTGTTTGTACTTGTGATATCTAAGGTGTTTATACAATGGTTAAACTACATTTAAGGGATTACTTAATTATAGACAAGGAGATCCTTAAATTCTGAAGTGTTCTCTAAGTTTTCCTACAAATTATAACTTAAGGGAAAACCTTAACTTGGTGTTTAAGAATGTTTTTAGTTAAACTAACTTTGAAGGCTTCCTTAATTATAAGATCGAAATCAGGAAAAAAACTTAAATTCCTAGGTTGAATTTTAAGGAAAACTTAAGGGTAATTTTTAGATTTAAGGCTTTTAAGTAAAACCTTGAAAACTTAAGGTGTTTCGTAAGGTCTGAAGCTGTTGATCAGATTTCTTTGATTTTCAAATTTTAATTAAGTTTAATGCGTCTGTTCACATTATTAATAATCAATAATGATTGATGTGAGTCTGACAGTGTGAGTGTCCCGTCAACAGACGTGTTTGTGTCTCTGCTGAGCCGATTAAGTTTGTCAGTCTGACTCAGCAGTCTGTCTGCTGACATCTCTCTCTGTCTCTCTCCGTCTCTCTGTCTCTCTCTATCTCTCTCCGTCTCTCTGTCTCTCTCTATCTCTCTCCGTCTCTCTGTCTCTCTCTATCTCTCTTCAATAACTGAGAACTTTAAATTTTATTTTTGTTTACTTTATTAATCACACTAAACTCTGGTGACTTAAGTTAAGGGACCAAGTTAAGGGTTTTTGAAGAACATATTGTTCAGCCTAAGCAAAGTGATTATATAGATTTTTATATTTTCAGTATCTTCAGTCCTGACGTGTTGAAACACTTTAACATGAGGCACATTTATATTTTATTTACATGTTTCATACTGATTATTTCTTATAATTCTGTTCATCTGAAACTTTTCAGTTTGTTCTCAGATTTTTAATGCCACTCTGAATAAAGTGCAGTTTTTAAATAAACATTACTGAAGGAAATAAAAGTTTTTTCAGTGTCAGAGACGACTTTGCAAAATATTAAAAAAAACAAAACAAAACATAAAATATGATTTGTCAGTGATATAATTGTGAGGCGTTTGGTAAATTATATTTTGAAAAATACGAAAAAAGCTTTTAAGGTTCGAAAACACAATATCAAGAAAAACATTCAAAAATCCTCTGTCACATGTGGGATTATATGATATGAGACATTATAAAACCAATGAAGTCCTTAATTTAAGATTAGGGATTCTATGGATGTTTTTATTTTGTCGTCCTTTATAATCCTTAAACATCCTGTTTGTTGAACATCCTGTTTGTTTGTTGAACATCCTGCTTGTTTGTTTGTTGAACATCTGTTTGTTTATTTGTTGAACATCCTGTTTGTTTTAAGTGTTTCCTCTGAGCAGCCAACAGTGTCTTCATACTGAATCTTTTTAATGATCATGTTGTGATGATTCTAACCCTTCAGTAACTGGTCCATCCACAGAGCTGCAGGCCAGGATGTGACATCATCACACCTGTGTGACAGAGACACCTGCTGGACGCATCAGGAACCTTCAGACACACAACAGGAAGTAAGCAGGAAGTGATGGCGCAGATGTGATTTAGGTAAGACAGACAGACAGACACCTCTGGCTGGACATGAAGACTTTATTATTAACCCTTTCACCTCCAGCTGGATGAAGACGGCAGTTTGTTAAAAGCTCTAAAACGTAAACGTGACGGCAGAGTCCACTCAGTCCCCATCAGTCTGTCTGAGTTCAACAACAAGGAGTCCGTCACACCCTTCATCGTCCTCTGTGTCTCCACCTGTCCACAGTCCCTTCATCATCATCTTCATCATCAGCAGCAGCAGCAGCAGCAGGTCCCTCAGCCAGTCACATGTCCGACCACAGGATGGCCTTGCTGCCTTTCTCCACACTGGCGACGTATGCTCCCGACGGCGACCACGACACTGAGTTGATGGCAGAGCTGCAGGAAGGACAATAAAACAGATGATCAACATGTGAGCACACGCATATATAACGAGGTGTGTTCCACGTATATAACGAGGTGTGTTCCACCTATGTTACGAGGTGTGTTCCACGTATATAACAAGGTGTGTTCCACCTATGTTACGAGGTGTGTTCCACGTATATAACGAGGTGTGTTTATTTGATTCGGCTGACGTATTGCGGTAAGCGAGTTGTGTCATTTCCGGTGTTTCTGTGACAGAGTCTCTGTACTGCTCTGGTGAATTCTACTAGCCTGCTTTCTCACTTCAGTTGCTTTAACGTTGCTTTAACGTCTACTTCAAGTCTTAACCCACACTGGTTCTGTTTATGCACTTATAGCTCTCCTCCTTTCTACGACTTTCTCGCTAATCTCTTAGCTGTTGTTTGCACGTTACTAGCCTTGGTAGCTACATTAGCTTTACAGTTAGCGATGGCTTCTCCCTCTGCTCTTTCTTGCTCGGTGTGCC